TCACTTCATATTGTTTGGCCTTGTAGCCAACGGCTATAAAACTCCAACGATTCTTGTGGCTTGTATTCAGGAACAGTATGCCCTGCTCCCTATATTATAAAATATAAATTTTGTTAAATCTTTAATCAATTATATTGTATCAACGAGAAAACAGACAAATGGGTTAAAAAATACTCCAAATACCTTGATGGTGAGGAATGTGAAATTATTAGCATATCCCTGAATATATCTGCATAAGACAAATAATGCAATGTTATCAATCAATTCAATGATATATCACATCATCAATGATTAACATGAGATGAGTATTGGTACTCATTAGATTATTCTCTATATTACCCAGCGACTTGGTCACTAGATATCCACGACCTCCATTCGTCGACTATTTTATATCCGAGTGATTCCGTCCACGCTTGAGTTCCAGTAAAAGGGACACACATGTCATGATCTCCACTGAAATAAATGACTTAAATTTATTAATTTGTAATCACACACATATGTATATATAATGAAAGGAAAGGAATTAATTAAATAATTTAATTACCTATATATGAGTACCCTGTATCCACTGGCGGTCAAGTTTTTGTGGTAGCTTATCATACTTCCAGCATTATGATAATAGCGTAGGTTACCTGTGCATAGGCTCCATTCTCCACTCTCCTTAATTATAAAAATTCAAATATATAAATTAATTAATTACTACAACTTTTAATTAGTTTTCTAATTATTATTGGTATTTGTACACGTACCGGATCAGCGTGAATTGCCTTCCTAACTTGCTTGTTATTCAGCCATACAGTTGCTACTCCATCATCCTGCATTCATTAGAGTGACTTCAATGACATGGAGAAGAACTACGAGAAGTCTATGTATGTCATAGAAAACAACGTTTGGATCGGCTATGCTTTATAACTCTGAGTATTTGGCTATTAAAGGATCAGACGTCCATAGGATGCTTGTAGTGGAAATGAGGATGCTAACATGGATATTGGTCATGCTGAAATGGATAAGATAAAAAACGAGAACAATTTGATGACTTAGGTGGGTGATACATTTTTTATATTGACCTAAATATGTGCTTTTCTCCATATAAGACTTTATTTGTATCACGAATTTTGGTGTTTTTTTGGTACTTACTATGCATGGAACATGGACGCTTTCCAATAATTGCGGCCACAAAGGAATGAGTCCATCTTTAACTGGTGCTCGATAAGGCCAGGCTCGGCCAAACATTCTCTTTCTAACAGAGAGTGATTTATCATTTGACGTTCCCAATTGCTTGAAGCTTTCTGGCAACTGACTACTTGTATTTGGGTTGTGGTAGCAAGGTTCAAGGATATCGTATATGTTTAAACCTTGTAAAGCCTGTATAACAAGAATCACCAATATTATTATCTACTCAATAAAAGTTAACAAACTGTGAATGGATACACTATTTTAAAGTTTTGTCTTTATACCTTCTCGATCTTATTTAACGCTAACCCACAGTTGCTGCTGCTGTAGTTGTAGTAGTTTCCCTTACATTCGACTTCAGCTGACTGTAATCATCACAATTAAACGGAAATTCGCAATTCAGACCAAATGTATGAATAGCAATTGTGCCTATTAATTCATCAATGAACCATTACCTTATACAATTGATCCGAGATTAGGCCCATCCCATGTGTAAATGGGACAAGAGCATTCCCATCAAAACTACGATCACATACTCCATTTCCAACCATGTAACCCTGCATCAAATTCATTAAATAGAATCCTTTTGCAACAAAAATAAAGCAGAAATTTTTAGGGGAAGGCCGGGCACATGTACCTTAAAATTGATGACAGGTTTTACCCCACTTTTGATGCCTACAACCAATTAATATACAAGAATTTTTATCCAATAATTGGACAGAAGTTCAAGAGTCCATCTAATATATAATTTGTACCTTTGTCAACATCAGAAGCAAGAGTAGGGACATAAACACCAGCATATGACTCCCCTGCAATATAAAACTCATTGCCAACAAACTCTGGAAATTGTTCGAACCACTTGAAAGAAAAAAACACCAAGAAATAATTAGCATATATCATATGTGTACATATAATATTAATTATGTGAAGAGTACCTTGAGGAGAAAAAGGTGAGTATCAAATGCAGTCTGCAAGTCTCCGGTTTCATAGTTGGATGTGTTGGCGGAATATGAGAAGCCAACTCCAGCCGGAGAATCCAAATAGATAATGCTTGATACCTACGTGAAGAAAAATTTATGCCCTTATTCGGTTTAGATAAAGATTAAATTTTTAGAGGATTTTGATAGAAAGTTAATGAAATTTTATGATTAAAAAGTTGTAAATTTTATGAAATGAATGATTGAAAATGAGCTTTGGGGGTCAAACAAGAAAAGGGTTATAATATTAATAAACTTATTTTAAATATAATCACTTTAGACCAACTATAGGGATTGAGATGCAAAGTGGGCAATTCCCCTTCTTGCTTTGCTGCATCAAAATTAAATGGCCCTGTAGATAATATTTGCATTTTAACCGGTTAGAAAAGAGAGTAAATCATTGGTTTTGTGTTAACAATTGTAGAATATAGGACAGAATAGGATGTTCTCAGTTTACCATGTTCATAGACAAAGCCATCAAAACTAGAACATCCTGGTCCTCCATTGAGCCAAAGAACCACTGGGTCAACGGATGGATTTTTTTCCGATGCTACAAAGTAGTAATATAGATTTTTCGAAGGCTGACTATCTCCGCCATCAATTGTAACATACCTGAATATATATTATATATAAAGATAAACGTGCTTCGGCCTATATCAATAAATAATTATGATTTTTTTCAAAGACAAATACGTACCCTGCGTAGTGTTTTGACGGAAAACTACCACTGAATCCCGGGAGACTTGTGACTAATGAACCTTGAGGAGCTGCTTCAGTATTAATATTAATAAAACAACACAGCATGCAAAGTAGTATAATTATCAGAAACATTAATCTGGGTTTCTCCATCAACAATAGAGAGATTGGCCGGGGGAGAAAGAAAATCAAAAGATGAATTTTTTTGGAATGAAAGTGATGAATCGAGTTAATATTGACGTCAGAGCAGTCACCTGTGAAGTTAACTAGGCATATGTTGAGTAGATAAGAAGATGATGATTTTCACATGATGGCATGAGATGAGACAATAATCAACGGCAATGATGTGAGGGCCCAGGCGTAAATCCCTATGAGTATTGTATACAATGGAATTACATGTTTGTACTTACTATTCTGGGTGGCAGATGCTCTTTCGACAGCCGGACTGATGAGGTGAGGCAAGTGAAGCCCTCCACTGAGGTCCAAATTCAAAGGGGACCATGAAACTAGAATTACCAAACTAATTTAACACACACACACACAAATAATAAAAAGGCCTAAAAGAAGAGAGGGCAAAAGTTAAGAGGGTTTAGTTACATGAGTTGACATTTTTTTTTCCAAGTTGAGATTGATCAAAACTTATGTCCAAATAGCTGTCGCATGAAAGATTGGATCGATTGTCTATGTTATCAATTTTCGATAATTGTTATTTGATTATAATATACATAAATAATTTGAATAATAGTTTTATTTGTTATTTTATTGATGAGTTTTAAGTTAATTATTATTCACGTAAAACTCTTATAGATACAAAAATAAATTGAATACTTACTACGATTGAGGGCCCACTAGGAGCTCAATTGATAAGGTTTGCCTTTGGTCCCAAACATCAGAGGTCCAACAATGATATCTTTTATTGGTATCTACCTTGTATTTTGTCCACGTTGTATTTGGAGAGAATGACTAAGCCTATATTTGGCCCCTCGTTTTTTCAAAACTCATTTTTAATTATACATTCTTTTATAAAATAATTTTATATGCAGACCCAAAACTCTTTCTTATTTTTTAACAATACATTCTCTAACAAAATATTAATTCAAAATGTAATTTAATACAAAAATGGGGCTCCAACTGGGACTAAAGTATATATGGGGATGTGGAGATAATGGATACACAAATGTCACATCAGGCATCATTGATAAACCTGCGTAGGAGGTAATGGTACACGAAGGAAAAGGCTTAGCTCGTCATTGTCTCATATAGTCAAAGTTAAGTATGACCAAGATATCAAACAATGGTCTTCTAGATTTTGTAACAAGTATCCCTGGTGGGCTAGCCTTCGTGGGTGGTTTGGAAGCCTCAAGAAAAAGAGTACACCGACTGTTTAGTCAACTCATTGGCATAAAAGTAATCTTAATTATTATGTTGACAATAGACTGATAACGCATTAATCTTGCAAGCAATGTGGCAATTAATTATTGTTTTGAAGAATAATTACATTAGGATAAGAGCTCTACATTTGGATTTTTTATTTTTTATTTATTATTATTATTATTATTATTTTTTTTTTGGGTGGGGGTGGGGAAGTGTCCCGGTCACTTCTCTATATATTACTCAGCACAATTAAACAAAAGAAATGAAGAAAAGTTGAGGTTGGTTTGATGGTCAAGACTTTTACCCTGTATTTGGTGAGTCTTACATTGACATGAAAAAACTTAATTAAAGCTGGTAGCAGTTGCAAATTTGAGTAGTTTCAGAGCCAAAAAACTATGAATGCCCATCTAATTTTGACTTTATATACATATGTTTGTTGATCTTTACTAAAGTATGTCTAACTACCTTGTCATATTGTACACGACTTTTCAATTTATGTGATTGAGGCCTTTTTGGTTTTGTTAATAATTAAATCTTTGGTAAATTTTGATAAATGTCGTTATTATTAATAAAAGTTGCTCAAGCTCTAATACGCCGATTTTTTATTTTTTATTTATTTAATGTGAGATTTATCCTTAAAAAAAAAATTAATCCTTCTGACTTGTCTTTCGAACATAATTAACATTAATTTAACATGTAGTCGAGTTCCATCTTAACTTGAAAAAAAAAAAAGGAAAAATCAAACAACAGTTCCAAGTCAATAACAATAACACTCCTTGACAAAATTAGAAATCAAGTATTGAAAATCTTAAATCTTTTTAATTTCAAAATAACTTCATCATATTGTTTTGCCTTGTAGCCAACGGCTATAAAAATATAGCGACTCTTGTGGCTTGTACTCAGGTACAGTATGTCCAGCTCCCTATAGCAATAAATAAAAATTGTGTTAAATCTTTGATTGAATATGTTATAAAAAAAAAAAAAAAAGAAGCAACAAATCGGAGAATAATTTATTTTCTAGATATTTAGTACTCAACGTGACCCCGGTCGAACTACCTTGATGGTAAGGAACGTGAAGTTATTAGCATATCCCTGAATAAACCCAGCAACTTGTTTATTAATTTCCCAGGGCCTCCATTCATCCACTACTTCGTATCCTAATGACTCTGTCCATGCTTGAGTTCCAGTGAATGGAACGCACATATCATGATCTCCACTGTGATAAATGATTATCCAAATTAATTATTTGTAATGAAGAAAATAATTAATTATCCAAATTAATTAATTACGCTACCTATATATAAGTATTCTGTATCCACGAGCGGTCAATTTTTTGTGGTAGCTAATCATGCTTCCAGCGTCATGGTTATAGTTAATTCTGGACGTGCATAAGTTCCAGTCTCCACTCTCCTTAATTATACAAACAACTTTTAATTAGTTTCTAATAATTATAATTATAATTAATAAAGTAGATAATTTACTTACAGGATCAGCGTGTACAGCCTTTCTAACTTCCTTGTTATTCAGCCATACTCTTGCTACACTATCATCCTGCATCCATTCAACATAATATTTTATGAAATTCACAACTTTTATCAGAATAAAAATATTTAAATAATATTCTTTTTAGATATTGTCGATAATTTATAGTCATTTAAAAAATAATCTAACATGCAGATTTGTGGTACTTTTAATAAATATACCGATAAAAATTTCGTCAATAAATAGATTACTAAACATATAAAAATGAAATATGAAATGAAATTATAGTTGTAAAATTACTTCTTTATTAGTTATATTCTAAATAAAAACTGAAAAATAAATAAATAAAAGACAACTAAACTTACGTAATAATGGAAAAAGTTGACCAAAGAATAAATATCTCTTGTTGAACAATTGAAGAAATATCAGTAATTATCTTTTTACATTATCATTGATAAATGATAATAGTTGATGGTGGTGCAACAGTTATCACCAGCGACATTATCATAAGTGATCAGACAGGATTCGTACAGATAATTCTATTCGAACTACTAATAATATAGATTTCCATCGAGAAATGTCAGCGATTGCGTCGATTATAACTTTTCTATTTATAGTACTTTTATGGTTACTTTTGAAAAAGTCTCTTAAGTGAATTTACGAGCCGCCTAACCCGCCTCTGCTAATCTATAGCGTTATAATTTTATGTTTTTATTAAGGGATAAAATCCCACATCAATTAAGGATATGGGAACATAGACTAACTTATTAGGTATTGAGCTACTCCTCTTAACAAAGTTGACATTTTAAGATGAAACATCAAGTCTTCACAGTTTTTTGTACTTACAGTACATGGAACGGGGTGGTTGTTATCCATTAATTCCGGCCATGACGGAATAATTCCAGCCTTGATTGGCGCTCGGAATGGCCAGGCTCGGCCAAACATCCTCTTCCTAACTGGAAGTGGTTTACCAGCTGACATTCCTAACTGCTTGAAGCTTTCTGGCAACTTGCTACTTGTACTTGTATTTTCATTTGCTCCTGACGGGCTATGGTAGCATGGTTCAAGAATGTCATAAACGTTTAAATCATCTAAAACCTGCAAGAGAACAATCAGTTAAAATTAATATAATCCACTCACTAAAAGTTAGCAAGTTAAGATTACGTGTTTTAATTACCTCATCGATTTTGTTTTTTGCAGACTCACAATCTTTGTTGTTATTATCGTAGTTTCCACTGCATCCGACTTCAGCTTCCTACAATAATCATCGATAGTGTAATGGTTTCTTTTACTAAAGAATTGAATTTTTAACGCTCAAATAAATAGAACTTATCTGAAAACAGAATTATATATACCTTAAACAAATGGTCTGAGATTAGTCCCATCCCATGTGAGAATGGAATTAGAGCATTCCCATCAAAAGTATTATCACACAACCCATTTCCAATCATGTAACCCTGCATCGTTTAATTTTTGATATTTGCTTAATAAATGATAAATAAAGCATAATTTAATAGGCAAAAAAAACCTATGTAATGTACCTTGAAATTAATAATAGGTTTGACCCCACTTTTGATGCCTTTTATACATAAAAAAACAAGTATTATTCAATAATTGAACACAAAATTGAGAAATTTTATCAAGTACCTCTTCGACTCCTTTTATGTACCTTTGTCAATATTAGAAGCGAGAGTAGGGATATAAATCCCAGCATATGATTCCCCCGATATATAAAACTCGTTGGTGACGAACTCTGGATATTGCTCGAACCACTAGCGGAAAAAAGATCAAGATAAAATTAAATTAATTCTTGAATTTGAATTATTTTACGTGAATACTTAATGTCATACACGTGAAATTACCTTAAGGAGAAAACTATGAGCATCAGATGCAGTCTGTAAGTCTCCAGTTTTGTATATGGATGTGTTCGTAGAGTACGAGAATCCAACACCTGTTGGAGAATCCAAATAGATAATGTTTGATACCTTTAAATTAACACCCAAAAATACAATTATTAATTATACATTGATTATTTTGCCATTAATGAGGAAAAATAGTTAATTTTGAATAATAATTACCTTAGACCAACTATAAGGGTTGAGATGCAAAGTTGGCAATCCCCCTCCTCCCTTTACTGTACCAAAATTGAATGGCCCTGTGGATAATATTTGCATTTATAACTCGTTAGAAGACAAATAAATATTTGGAATTTTTTTTTATTAAAAAAGGGTGAAAATTGTAATTAATTTTGTGGGTTTTGTAGTATGTTTACCATGCTCATAGACAAAGCCATCAAAACTAGAGCAACCAGGTCCACCGTTGAGCCAAAGAACAACTGGATCGGTCGTTGGATTTCTTTCCGATGCTACAGAGTAGTAATAGATATTTTTGGGAGGACGATCATCTCTATCGTCAAGTTTCACATACCTAGATTAAATGGCAAAATATATAGTTCCATATTAGTAACTATGTTAGAGATGCTTCTAACGAAGAGATCGCCATAATTAGTTCCCTGATATTTATAAAAAAAACACGGGTCTTCTCAAAGTCGTACAACTATAAACAACGATATTTTCAGAAGAAAGTCAAATCTAACTTTATAACAAAGAGAAGTGTCTATGTACGTACCCTGCATAGTGTTTCGAAGGGAAACTGCCATTGAATCCTGGAAGACTACTCACTAATGAACCTTTTGGAGCTGATTCAACTAAGCAACACAGTGGTATGCATAATGCTATAATTGCAAGAAAGACAAATCTGTCCATAGCTATTTCAAATAAAGAAGAACAATCAATTGAGAAAAGTAAATGTAGAATTGATGAAAAATTGGTTGTCAATTTCATTACATTGCTTCCTTTTTTATAGGGGAAAATTACATGAAATTACAATAATCCATCTCGAAGATTCAGCAATCCAAATCATTTTGCAAAATATGAATTATGATTTTCACACCTGTCAGTTATACTCAGTCATATACTTTATTAGTAAAGAGAAAATTATATCGAAGGAAATTACAATAATCAATCCTAGAAATTGAGCAGTCAAACATAAGTTACAGAATCTTTATTATAAACATAATAATTATGAATAATGCTATTTATGTAATTTTATTTCATATGAGATTACAATAAATGATAATGTCAATGAAGTGGGTCCATATTCATATTTAAATAGCATATTCATTTCATGCATTATTAGTTTCCACATCATATGGGAATAATGCTGATAAATACCGTTATTGTAGAATAATGCTATCCAGCATTAGTGGTGCTATAACACTAAATTATGTGACACTATAATAATCTAATTGATGGTTAATGATAAATATATGGCTCTCTCTCGAGGAATCTCCACTAGTAGTATCAATTTCATTTGATAAAATAGATCAATTATTTTAGTAGTTTATTATTAATACTGATTATTTCCCGTGACTCCAAATTCTGATTTCACAATACACAACCAAAACATCACAAGATTAGGATACGTTTGATTTTTTATTTCGAGTTGTTTTCAATTTTCCAAGATACTCAAAACTTGTTTGGTCAATATATCTTTAAAAATACATTTTTCAAAAACAAGGTTAAACTTATAACATAAAACTCAAAACTCATTTTTGATATTTTGATTGTTTTTAGTGAAAACTCTAAAAATACTAAAAAAAAAAAAAAGAGAGAGAGAAATAAGCATATAAATAAATTTTCTTTACATAAAATTATAAAAATTAAAAATTCTAAAAAGAAAAATTTCTATAAAATAACAAACCTAAAAGATAATAAAAAAATTTAAATTTTAAAACTAGAAAAATAATCTAAATTTTGAAAAAAAAATACAATTAAAAAAACTAAAAAATAAAAAAGAAGAAAAAATAAAATTCTAGAAAATAAAAATTGAAAAATAAAAATAGTCCAAACTTTTAATGGTTATTGACATAAAAATTATAATATAATATGTGGTAATTACACAAAACCCTACCATTAAAATCATGAATTCTGAAATCAAATTGGAACTTTAATCTTTCTAAAATAAGATATTAGCATATTTAAATATTAATATTAAATATACATTTTTTTTTTTATCTCAAACCCTACCATTTTCTCTCTCGTATCACCCTCTCCCAAGTCCGGCAGTTTTCAACCATTTTCACTCTCTCTCTCACCGACGCCATCACCACCCACGACATCCCCGGCCAGAAGAAGCGTGAATCGCCGACCAGATAATGCAGACCATCGTCACCGTGAGGATCCGCGACGTATCCAAGCTTCGCTAAGGCACCAATCAATAGTTTTTTTTTTCTTTATTTTTGGTAAATGGTTGTTGGACGGCGGGCTACAGCGATGGATCTGGCCGTGATTGACTATTGTGCTGTGTGTTGTGGTTGTGCAGTGTCGTTGGCTTGTGATGTGGTGGTATTGTGTGTGTACTGTGGGCGGTGGTTGTGCATGGTGGTGGTGATGTGTTTGTGGTGGGTTGTATGTGGTGGTGTTGTGGTTGAGTGGAGGTGATGATACGAGTGGTGGTGGTTGTTGATACGGACAGTGGAATGGTGGTAGAGTCCAGTGACAGATTGGAGATTTTTTCTGGTGGGGCGGTGCGATGGTGGTGGTGTTCGTGGGGGCGGTGCGGTGGTTGTGATGGTTTTGGTTGTAGCTCTGTTTTGTATTTTGAGAAAAAAGTTTTTTTTTAGAATGACAGATTAAACGTATTTTTTATAATATTAAAATAAACTCTTAAAATAATAATAATAATAAAATAAAAACACCAACCGAAAGTGAACCCAAAACTAAAAACTGAAACACAAATCCAACTTCTATGATTTCTACACTGTTTTTGTCTTTTATCCCGACTATTATACCATGGCCTGCTTTAAAGATGTGGGTTGGGATCAGCTTCGCTATGAACAAGCACCATCCAGTTTTAGCAATAACACTAAAAATTGCCGCTCTATGAGTATACAGTCATGTCCATTTGTGTTCATAGACTCGTCTATAGCCACGTATTGATAGACACTACATAAACACCACCATTCATCTGATCACGAACAAGAAACCGAAGCCAATAATTAAGTAAATTGATAATTACAATGAAAGGAAAAAAATAAAAAATCAAGAACTACCTTGTCACATTGTATACAATTCTTCAGTTCATCTGATTTAGTATCTGCTATATTTTCTTGTCGACAAGTACACAAAACAAGACGGTGGAATCAAAGAATCATAGGAATTCTCATAATTCCAATAACTATTTTTAACTATGAACTCAAAGAATCAAATAACAAATCCATCAGCATCCAACAAATTGTGATAAACATTATCGAAAAAAAACTAGCTGCGACGGCTCAATCGATCAAATTCAGCAGGAAGGCTATTAACAAAACGAAGGATATAATATTTCCTCTACTCAGAATGCTAGAAGAAGAAATATCATGGGCGCCCACTGTATAACTGTTTCCTGACTTTTCATCCCTAACTTTGATGCTCGAAGAGCCTGTGAGATAAACACCAAAAAGACTTTTGAGGAAAGAGCCATCTTCATCAAAATTTCATGCAGCATAAAGTTTACAGTCAAATGGCACAAACTAAAATATGTCGGAAGACAAAACATATTGCCCAATGCCTCTGTAAACCACATATAGCCCCTGTTTGGCCCCCATTTTTGGTAATGAAAATGGGGAGAATAATATTTTGTTGAAAAAATGAGTCGTTGAAAAAGAAGGAAAATTTTTCGATTTACGTGTAATATTATTTTATGGAAGATTGTGTGGTTGAAAATAGGAGAGAGAGAAATAGAATGTAATGGAATGCAATTTAATGGGAATCAAACAGGGGCATAATCTAGAAGTTATTTGCCTAGTCCAGGTACAGGAGTCGATTGGTAATAATAATTGACACTACGATATCTTACTTGGTTCAATTCAGCTAAGTCATTGCAGACAGACATAGACAAGCCACCCTGTTGACCATATGTAAAATATTTACGATCTAACAATTATAAGGTTGGTCCTTGTGCATACCTTTTTTAAAGCTTATTCTCGTCTATATAGTTCAAAGGAGAACTCTGGACTTCACAAGGCAACCTCACAGCACTGTAGATTAGTGGGGAAAAGGGCAATGAGGTATATACATGCTCTCTTGATCTCGTCATTGATCCATATAATACATAATCAGTTTTTATGCTGTCTATTCTAAAAGTACCGAGTATGGAACAGAACTCTAATTTGTACACATTGCATCCTGCTCTGAGCAAAATTTAGTACATTATCAATTTTTATTAATCAACAAAACAGTGAATGAAAACTATCCTTCTACTCCAAGATTACTTTATACCCCTTCCACCAGAACCGAATGACTTATTCTGTTAGCTTATTAGTTTCAGAGAAAACAAGATATATGTTTAAAAAAAAAAAAATCCATGCAAAACATGTTTTCAGAAAAAAAAAGAAAAAAATGAAAACCATCCACCAATTATGAAACAGAACGAAGCCATTTAGCCCCCGTTTGGCCCCCATTAAATTACATTTCATTTTTCTTTCTCCTATTTTCAACCACACAATCTTCCATAAAATATTATTACACGTAAATCAAAAACTTTTCATTATTTTTCAATCACTCATTTTTCAAAAAAAATAATATTCCACCCATTTTCATTTCAAAAAATGGAGGCCAAACGGGGGCTTAATTCGTGATACAGTGAGTATATCTTCATTTGTAAAAAATTTTGTTCATTTTGTTATTTATTAATATGTAAAAAATACATGAATTCCTTCATTTCTTTTAATAATAACAACAGGTCTAATGAAAACTATGTACCGACAGCTTAAGTACAAACACAATCGGACTATAACGAAAGCACTGATCTAAAGAAATTATGTGACAATCAATTCAAGAGAAGAAAAATTAAATTGTGAGTGAAGAAGCAATGCAAGAACTAGAAACTCACAGTTATGTTCTGTCCATCCAATGGTCTGATTTTCGAGATCATACACAACGAGCTTGTTTGATAAGACAATATCTGCATTTAAAAAGAATTCAGAAATTAATTAAATCAATATCCATTCGAGTTGTTCATGATCTGGTTCAACTGTGACACATTTAATTACTTGCCACTTCATAGTTTGAGAGTGGATTTATCCTAAGTTTGAGCCCCCTTTTTTGTTTTAAATGAGTTGCGCAATAATGAATTTTTGGAGGAAGTGTAATTAAAAAAGTAGGAAAAAGTTTTGGGTTTACATGCATGTTTTATTGGGAGAATGTGTAGTTGAAAAGAACTTTAGACAATGGGGCTCAAATAGGGGCTCATTACTGTTAAGAGAGGAGCCGAAATAAATAAACGAGGAACGAGAGGAAGTCCATATTTCAAAACTAGTCCTACTAACTCAGATCTTACTGCAAAAAAAGATAGTAAAATCTGGATAGCATTACCCAAGAGTAAGTGCACTAATAGACTAAAATAATCTGTAAAGCTTGAAATGTACCTCCCAACAAGGTTATTTCCTTTCCATCCTTTGTCTGCATTCCACTGCTCTGCCAACCGATACACCACTCCTCATCCTGCAAAGTCGTGAAGTGGAAGTACTCAAGGGAATATGTGCAAACCAAATGAATGAATTAACATCCAAAATATGTTCCAGCTTGCTTACACTAATTTTGAATAGATATTCATGGGGATAAACCGTCAAAGAAAGTGAGTCCTCAAAATGAAAAGAGACAACTGGAAATCCATTATCGACACTGCACAAACACGTGACACCTAGAATTAGTTCAGATATCACAATCATGAACAAAGTAAATTAATTGCTTAATAAATTAATGTTCAATTGAACGATTTTTGTCTTGCTACCAAGATAATGGCATCGTGCTATTCATATTGAATGTGAAATTAGTAAACTTAATTATCAGAGAAGTATTTCTATGGAGCAAAGTCAATTCAGATAAGTGTACGCGCAAATACAAAACAAGAAACTGAAGAAAGCTAAAGTTTATGACCATCTTTAGAGTCTTTGACAATATTTTTACATCAGACAAATAGTAAAGTTAAGCCCAACATCTTGACGACGATCTTGCAATTCAATAGACTTTCTGTATGCAGGTATCCATGTTTATTGTCAAACAGAGCTTGTGTTTCTATATTTAGTCGGATGCCATATTTATATGACCATCTTCTGTAAAATGTTAATTATCACAAAACACATTTTGACAGTCAAAAGGACAGGATGTTAATTAAAACAGAACTCCATACAAAATGTTATATCAAGCACATTGGACTTATCTTGAGACATCGACTGATAGACAGGTTGTTTATTAAAAGTTAAAACTGACCAATCTAATTGACACCCTACCATTTGCCATAGATAGCCAACGAAGATACACAGTGAGCAACATCCCCTATTTAGAACTTTATTTTCAGAAACCGTAGGCATACGTCAAGCCTTCACTTTTAAACTAAAAGTAATGAGCCAAAAGTGTGACACTATCAACCTTGCTCGTTGATCTGTTTTGATGATAAAGTTTCAAGAGACTTGGGCAAATCAAAAGGAAGCAATTAAGATCTTAAAACTCAAAAGGAAAAATAAAATAAAAATTCCTGATTAACTATTAAAGATTTTTGGATTGCTCATACTAACCTTGGGTGGATATGATAATGATATGAGTAGGAGTTTTTAAAAATATTTCTATATTCTTCCAATACTAGTACTAAAAATCAGAAATGACACAATTTTTAAATGCCATTTGCTGAGTTATCCATGCAATGATGATTGATGAAATAGATTTTCTGCGTCCAAATATGCCATGAAAATTTTGATGACAACAATTTTATTACAAATAAAATCCTTCGTCCACTCCCCATGTGTTTCTTTCGATCGAAACACATTTCCATATTCAATACTAGTAGCTCTCAATTCTTTGGCAAACATGTTTCGGAAATTTGGATAACTTTATTGATCCTCAGCATTCCGAAGCCTAAATTGAAATAATCCAACATACCAAGTTCATATTCCTCTCAGCCTGTTTTATAGCATACTAACAAATTTATGTTGAATGCAGCTTGAGTTTCCATATTTTTCCAAGCTCCCATCCCAACTTATCATGCAGTTAGACAAGAAAGAGTGGAATGCGCTATTACTTTCACCAGCACTCGAGAATACAAGTGCCTGTGATGACATGATATCATGTTCTTAGAGCTTTTCACGATTTTGAAAGAATCAAAAGGACAATGATCATAACTGCCATGATTATGACTTCTTTACCCCCAAAAAGAGTAGCAACCTTGAAAAGAAGATCATCATTAAGAATCATGAATACTTCTACAATAGACTAAATTATCTTTTTCTATAACTTCCAACTTTTCTCCATATTCTGATTTCCAACCAATCTTCATAGTAACCATAGAAGCTTGTGAATCCAACTTAAAGAGACATTTTATACAGTTGAATGTCCAAGTCAAACATCAAAAAATAGATCAGATCAGAAAAACTAATTCTGAAGTCCAAAGGTACAAATATATATACACTGAACTCATCTCTAGGGGAATCTATACATGATTTCCAAGGAAACCTCAAGCCATCAGAGGGAGTTCAATTGTCAGTGGAACAGACACAGGGAAAAGGACCTGAAGTATAATTTGACAATAGAAATATGGTTAAGCATAACATTCTTCGCCATACATATTTTCAATCACAGCTGTCTTACCACTATTATTATACCGATTAACACAATACAAAAGTACACAAATATATATATATATATATATATATATATAGAGAGAGAGAGAGAGAGAGAGAGAGAGAGAGAGAGAGAGAGGAATTAACTGAGGAGCCTTACTTCCCACTGTAATCAAAGCACTTGAACTGCTGCTCAACTATTTGAGTTTTTAGATTAGGTTGCCGTTCCATCACCTAGCGGGAGGGAGGGTGGGAGGGGAGAGAAAGAGAAGATACACAAATATATAGATTAGATCGATGAAAAAATGTATGCTATGTAAGACCTTAATTTTAAGATAAATTTATGGAATAGCAAGGCTTGAAGTATTGGACACACCTTTTCCATAAGCCGTTCATAGATCTCATCTGGAAGATAGGCCAAGGTTGTACCACTATCAATTATTGTCCCTCTCTGAGAACCAGGGCCAGACAAATCTGTTGGAAGGTCTAGAGAACCACCACCCACCTCAACTGACTTCAGAACAACATTATAATGTGCCCTAAGATAGTAAGAAGACTTACATTAAAGACAAACAGATGGTTAAGAACAAAAACATGACATTATACAGACATTACATGAAGGGTACATCTAGCAAAAATAAAACAAAAAGCTGTTATTTATACAAGAAGACATTACGTGAAGAATAAATTTAACAGAAGTAATTTCCAATGATAATGACTGAAGAAATAAACTTCTGACGGATAATATTTTTTAAATACCTAGAAAAATTTCACATAAATTATTTACTACTTTGACTCTATAAAATGATGGCCATAAAAGATGTTTAGATAACCGCCCAGCCAATAGCATTTTAAGATCAGGTCTTTTATCAAAAAAAGGGCTGGATTATATTATTTGAATGGAGTTAGAATCTCAAATTGGCACATATTTCAAAGAAAGAAAGTTCTCCGAACAGAGATCTGTATTAGAAACCAGATACAATGACCAAATTTGGATCTGAGTTTTGACTGTGGAATCACTCATCTTATAATTGATTGTTTTTTACTCTTTCTCATTGCATCCTCACCAAAAGCTGAACATCTTAAAAGAATAGATGTACAACTACTCTTAACACCACTAAAAGAACACTATCTCCCCGGTAATGATGTTGAATGATTCTCCAATTAACTTATAAAATGTAATATATATGTTCCTGAACTACAATTGGAATGGTTCTTTGATGAAAAAGATCCACACGTACACAGTATATTTAACTGAACATTAATAGCACATTTCTATTGTAAACAACTTCACTATTCTACAATTCATAAAGTTACATACTCATTAGGGACCAAAGGTGTTGATTTTACTTTTGGCTGGACCACTTGTCCAATTGCAAATATGCCACCTCCTTTGACACCATCCAGGCAATGTGAAAATATTTTCTTCACTTTCCCAGACGAAGCAAGCTGCGAAAGCACGGATGTATTTGCTTGTCCAAAACCAAGAATCCCGTCAACTGCTTCAGAAGATGAACCTAACTCTCCAGATTGTTTAGATGAGCACCTATCTTGGATCACAGACATGTAAGCTACAGAAACAGTGTATACTTTTTATGCACATAATATGTTTAATATTGAAGAGCTAAACTTGCTAGGCCATTTGTAAATGTATAAAGCAGTTTCACGTGGCAGAGTAATATTAGTCACAGACCAAGGTAGAAGACTCCATGTCAGAAATGAGGACAACGAGGACTAACCCAAATGCTATGGACCCATTCATGGATGAGGTCTGCAGGTTTCCAGTCACTTCATCAAGTTTGATGTCATCTCTAACAAAATATCCCTCTGTTCTGCTCCCATCTCCATAAGTAACAGCATAGTCACAGAAAGCTCCCACCTTGCAATCTGGATCTTGACCATTAAACATAGCGGAGCAAAAATCTTGATCACAAGTAACTGCCTTTCCAGTTGAGGAGGCCTTCAAGTCATACTGCTTCAAAGCTATCTGTTCCATGGGAAAAAAATAATATTAATAAGCCGTTCCTTCCAGTTTCACTCGAATTCTAATCCTTATGATAAAGAGGTTGCATCGAAATGAGAAGAAGCAACATACTTTAAGGTCGCTTTTCGTAGGACACTTATCACAGCCAACACAATTCACCCACAGAATGTCACTTCCCGTATCGACCTGGACATGATAGTCGTTGGAAGGATTTCCAATTGAAAGTTTTGTGTAATAGAGCCTGCATCAGTTAATCATATAGCCAATTGAGACCAATAACATGCATATGTGTATATTTCTCGTCTTCTAACCTGTTAGAAATATCGAGGCTCAAGTTCAACTAGAGTTTTCAACTTTCAGTTACATCACATACACTTCTGTTTTGGAAATAAAATTCTTGCAGTTTAACATGGTTAATGCAAGTTAGATGCAGAAAAAGAAAAGAAGTAGAATTGGTGCAACTTTACATCATCTCTCCAATGAGCTATGTAGCGGCCAAACTAACTTATAACCACTATGAATAGATAAACCGACTAACACTAACTACCATTAGAGCTGGAAAGCAAATGGAAATGGATTCACACATATAAGTAATATAAGTAAATTTCACAAACTTTTCTAGCAAATTATGATAGGTATATTAGAGTATACAGTATACTTCCATTAAATGTGAGCCTCGAAAGTGGGACCGTGCAAGGAAAAATAAATCCAGTAAATTGGAGTTGTCGCTTAATCCAATTTTATTCAAGCAGGAGTCATAAGAAAATATTCTCCATACATTTAAATACAAATTATGACATACAGGAAAGGAAGAATAAGGACAGCCCAGCAACAAAATTCTTCCTTGATGCTAAAGCAGGATCAAGACAACAAAAATGAGCTGGATTTGAACAGACGTGTAAGGCCCTCAAACTAATTCACAGCATTAATCATAAAAATACAGGTAATCAAACCTGCCTTCGGAATTCAAATTCAAATGATTCAAACCAAATTTAAATAAATTTTTCCCAAAATTCAAATTCAGTCAAACATAAAACCCAATCCATCCACAAACAAATAAAAGTCAAAACATACGCAGCGTCGGTGGGCTGGCCGTTGCCGCCCAAAGGCAAATCAACCGCTCCCAGCATTCTGCCGTGCCGGAACGAATCATGCGCCCGAAATGAAGTAAGTGCTGATCGCCCCGCCCCACGCCCTCCGAATTTATGTTGAACTTTAAATACAATATTCCCCTTCACCAAGCAAATCAATTGAACCGAGAACAATAGCAAAAGTAAAAATATACGCCTTCTCAGATCCATCACCACAACATTCAATTAAACGATGAACAACTTACTGAATTCTTGGACGAGTAAATAGAAACAACGTCCAGAAAAAAAAATCTTCTATAATTATATAATTTATTTGTGGGTTTTTGGGCAGAACGAAAAGGGGTGGACTTGGAAGGTCCGTAAGAAAGAGGGCAAAAGAAATTTGAGTTCAAAACAATGAGAAAGCGAAATTAACGGAAAAAGGACATAGTTCTTAAAAAATAGATTATACGATAAGTTATAATAAACCTGAAGCCAAAATTAAGGTGAATTCTTGGAAAGATCTCTCCCCGCGTGGGGCGAGATGTTTTACCTGAAAAGGAACGTGCGTATATGTGTGTTTTTTTTTGCGTTTGAAAAGCAGGAGAAGAGAAGGTTCTGTACATCACGATGTGGTCGCTGTATCTACCTTTCTATCCATTTCTAGAGAGATACACACATGACAATTGTCTAAGGTTTCTACTTTCGCGTTCCTCAGTTTCTGCCAGAATTGATTAATGAAAATTCTCGAAGTTTTTGAGTTTTTATTTCCAAATCTTCGTTATACTAGTGAGTATTGAGGAGGTCAATGATAAAAATTAAGATATCGAGGTCTAGTTCATTAGAACAGTGACTTGAAATCAAGCTTTCATTTTGCCCCCATTTTTTTAAAATGAAAATGGAAGGAGTAGTAGTTTTTTGAAAAATAAATAGTTGAAAAAGAAAGAAAATTTTTTAGTTCACGTGTAATATTATTTTATGGAAGATTGTACGATTGAAAATAGAAGAGAAAAATAAAATGTAATGGAATGAAAATTCAATGGGGCCAAATCTCATTTATTAAAATTTAGGAGAATAACCTTTTACATAATACATATATTTTTTATTATAAGTGAAAACAAAAATTACGTAGTTTTATAACTACACTCTTAGCCCCCCTTTGGCCCCATTTTGGGGTAATGAAAATGTATGGAATAGTATTTTTTGAAAAATGAGTGGTTGAAAAAGTAGGAAAAGTTTTCGATTTACGTATAACATTATTTTATGGAAAATTGTGTGATTGAAAATAGAAGAGAGAAAAATGAAATGTAATGGAATGAAAATTAATGGGGACCAAACAAGAGCTTGTTATTAAGACATTTACTGAGATTCACTCTCTTTTATTTATAAATTTATTTCTGCCCACACTTAATACTAATCTAATTGTAAAAATTCTTGGAAAAGTATTTTGAAAAACAATCAACGATTTTGATTCAAAGCTCTTATTTTGAGACACTTTAAACAAAAATTAAGTGCTTTGTTTGCAAAAGCTTAAAAAATTATTCAAAAGTTAAAGTCAAAATTCAACAATTAATTTTAATAGAAAAAGAAAAATTCAATTCTCAAGAATAATTCTCCTTCTAATCTTGGCAAAACAACTTCCCTAATGTTGAGGTAATTAAAACAGAAAATGAGTTACGAGTTGACGAAAGATATTGAAGAAGCAATTTATATGTGGAAGTAATGAACTTCATAATCTTGATTAGGTTATTTAAGTTTATTGTGTATATTTAGCTTCATTTACTCGATGTAATTATATATATTTCGCTTCATTTATTGTCTAGTTTATTGAAGATTGAAAATAATTAAATCCTCATCGATTATCATATGTTGACTTTTTATATGAAGATATCAAGATCTAGTTCATTAGATCGGTGACTTGAAATCTAATCTCATTTATTGAAATTTAAGAGAATAGCTTTTTATGTGATACATATAAATTTATCTTTTTATTACGAGTTTGTTTCCCCCCACTTTTAATACTAAGCTAATTGTATTAATATCTATTGAAGTGCATGATTAAAAATGAATTTTGACAATTTAAAATTATAGATTTTACCAAACGGAGACTTAGTCATCTCAAACGAGAGCGACTAACTTTTTACACTTCTTCGAAAAGATTAAAAGAAAAAAAAAAAAAAAAAAAAAATCATAAACACAGTTACGCTGGTGGCTTTTATGAGTTATGACGAATTATTGGAGGCTGTTGAAATCTTGATTGGTAATAGTATTAGCCGAAATTTTAGGTTTGCACCTATATATGTTGATTGTTTTTAAAGGCAAAATTAATTTTATGAAGAAAAGAAGTTCTTTTTTAGAGCCTTATTATGTGAATCAAATTTTTTTTATGAGTAATGCTATTTGCAGTCGCTCACTGCGGTAGTCGTCCTACGTGGCATACACATGGCAGGTAATTATTTGATGCATTAATGTGGTAGCTTTTTTTATTCATTAATGCATCAAATAACCACCTGCCATGTGTATGTCACGTAGGGCGACTGCCGCAGTGAGCGACTGCAAATAACATTATTCTTTGTAAAAATAATCAATGATTTTGATTCAATGCACTTAAACAAAATTAAGTGCTTAGTTTGCATAAGCTTAAAAATTATTAAAAAATTAACAATCAATGATTTTGATTCAATGCACATAAACAAAATTAAGTGCTTAGTTTGCATAAGCTTAAAAATTATTAAAAAATTAACAATCAATGATTTTGATTCAATGCACATAAACAAAATTAAGTGCTTAGTTTGCATAAGCTTAAAAATTATTAAAAAATTAACAATCAATGATTTTGATTCAATGCACATAAACAAAATTAAGTGCTTAGTTTGCATAAGCTTAAAAATTATTAAAAAATTAACAATCAATGATTTTGATTCAATGCACATAAACAAAATTAAGTGCTTAGTTTGCATAAGCTTAAAAATTATTAAAAAGTTAAAGTCAGAAATCAATAATTAATTTTAATTGAAAAAAAAAACTCAATTCTCAAGAATAATTCTCCTAATCTTGGCAAAAGAACTTCCCTAATGTTGAGGTAATTAAAACAAAAAATAAGTTACAAGTTGATGAAAGATATTGAAGTACATATTTTTCGCTTCGTTTATTGTCTAATTTATTGAAGATTGAAAATAATTAAATCTTGATCGATTATCACATGTTGACTTTGTGTATCAATATATCAAGGTTTAGCTCATTAGATCAGTGACTCGAAGTCCAATCTCATTTATTGAAATTTAATAATACATATATGTTTTATTTTAAATGAAAAAAATTACGTAGTTTTATACCTATACTCTTATTATTAAGATATTTATTGAGATTCGTACTCTTTTTATTATAAATTTGTTTCTGTCCACATTTAATATTAACCTAATTGTATAAATTCTTGGAAAAGTACTTGTAAAAACAAATCAACGATTACAATTTTGATTCAAATCTCTTATTTTGAGACTCTTTAAACAAAATTAGGTGCTTGTTTGGAAAAGCTTAAAAAAATATTCAAAAGTCAACAATTAATTTTAATTGAAAAAATATTCTATTCTGAAGAATAATTCTCCTCGTAATCTTGGCAAAAGAACTTCCCTATTTTTGAGGTAAAATTAAATCTGAAAAAGAGTTACAAGCTGATGAAATATATTGAAAAGCAATTTATACGTGAAAGCTAATGAGCTTCATAGCCATGATTAGGTTATTAAAGTTTTATTGTGCATATTTATCTTCGTTCACTCGATGTATTTATATACTCTTCGCTTCATTTATTGTCTAGTTTATTGAAGATTGATTGATGATCACATGTTTATATTAACTAATCATGTTAATTTTGATTGTTTTAATGAAATCATATCAATCTTATGGATGAAAAACCTTTTCTAAAAGCAAACGCACAAAAAAAAACATAAGAAAGCGATTTTTCAATTTTCGTAGAAGTTACTTTAAGCTGCCTTATTTTGATAGGCAAGATGAACAATAGTCATATCTTCATTGTAATTGAAATAGTTGTCTTTCTTACTCGAGGAAGTAGATGTGAACAATCCGAATCAAGCAAGAGGAAATTTTGAAAAATGGCCAATTTCGACACACTATTTTGAAAAATAGCCAAAATTTGAGAGGTTCGCATCCATGGCCTTTTTTTTTTTTTTTTTTTTTTTAATTGGATGAAAATACTTTTAATTGTCTCAATTCTCAGCTAAATGCCAGTAACTGATAAGTACTTACGAACCCATATAGAAAGTTCCCAAGTCAATTTATTCATATTCCACTTCCTTGTTGCTCTAAATATTGCAGCTTCACATAGTTTTTGACACTCGTTTTCGCAATAAACTAATTCGGAGACATCTCAATAAAGATTGAGGATCAAAAGGGACCTTAACAAACTGTAAATAAATATGGTAATCCTGTATCTGTACATTATGAACTCAAAAACACGAGAATCCAAAAACCAAGAATAGTTCCACATTACAGTATCATGATTAACCACATGTTAAATTAACAATAGAGAGATTTAAGAATAAAAAACAGCATGTACAGTACTACAATACGCGAGTTTTAGCATATTTAAACTAAATCTGCATATACAAATCAGTACTACAACTGGAATTTGAAACTATATGGCACTATAAAACACAAGTTTTAGTGTCTATCAACTAGTTTGTGTTTACTAATGAGTAGGCAACCATTAATGAATTATGCTACATGTATCCTCGTGTACATTTTCCTTTACAATCTGTCACGTGGCACCATCCATTAATTTGTTATTCTTAAATGGATACTGAGTATTGTGACTATTGTTCCCTGATAAGATTAACCAGATCACACTTCTCCAGGCATGCATCAAGCTAGAATGTGAACTCAGATATGACTAAAATACTGTTATGCAAAATGGTTAGTATAGCACAAGATCTAGCAATTAAGATAAAGTTACTTCAAAGTTTTTTCTCAAGCCATAGTTCATTTTCCAATTTCATTAGGCTCTAAGTTGAGTTGAGCATGTAATTTAATCAACATGGCCACACATACAAATCACGTATAAGTCTCTTAACAAGAATAAGAATTGGGATTGACATGGGCACGGGCACGGGCTTGGGCTCGGGCTCGGGCGCAGGTAAAGGCATTTGCATATGCACTTGCGTAGTAGGTTTTCCAATCCTTATCATCTTGATCAGTTTGCATTTTCAAGATGCTAATCCCAGATTCTAAATACAAGCCTTTTATGTTCGTGCTCTAAACAGACATTAATCCCAATGATATCAGTGGCAAAACTTTCATCTTTCTTCAATCTCTAGCTTCGTAGTTCGTAATGTGATGGAAGATAATGCAGTATGCTATGGGAGTGTGAACCTCACCCTGTTTATTGGACCAAATGCAAATTTTCGGCGAACTATACAATTCCAGGAACCTGACAGGGTAAGATGGTGACATAACTGGAGAAATGTGGTGGAGACTCATCGATTGTCTTGGAATGATGCTATCAAGGCGATTTCTAATGAGTCAATTGGTGGTTTTCAGGGTGGACTTCATCGTTGACATCAAATCAAAGCAATTGCTTTCGTCTAATGAAAAGAAAATGGTTTTAGAACTATTTTGGAAGTCAATGATTCAGAGGAAAAAGTCCTTCGAAAGCAATCAGACTCTAGTATACATCATCCATATGAAACCCAGCGAGGATTTTCCCCCCCTTTATTTCTAGGCTCTGAGGTAATAACATATTTTAGTAGAATCATAACAAATTGGTCATTGTGATGAATATTTGTTTCTTGCATATACTTGAACTGTTGGTTTAACTTTATATGACTTTATTGATAATCATTGATTCAAAACAATACGCTTGTTTTTCTTGAATCACTTTGATCCAAAGGAATTCATATGTTACAATATTATCGACAAGTTACATCAAGAAAGCAAAAGAAAGGAACACTAACTGGATCTTGCATTCACTATGGCACCATCTAAATCATGAAATTTGGCTCCGGTAACTTCTTTGACAATTTTGCCATCCTTAAATATTTTGAACGTAGGAACCACCTTAAGTCCCAACTCCTTAGCCAGTGGCTGCAAACCAAATATATATCTGATAAGATCCTCTGAAGAGAGAGATTATATAGAAGAAAAGTAAAATTGCCACAAACCCTGTTTTCGTGGTTACAGTCCAACTTTAGGAAGATAACATCAAGATACTTCTCTGATAATTGTTGGAATTTTGGAGCCATCGCCTTGCATGGACCACACCTGAAAGTTGAAGGTTATATATCCCGAAATCAGGAGAAACATTAGTCTAGCCATTTTATCATGGGAGCAAAGACAATGTTCATCCTAAAGGAATACCAAATAACTCAAGCGCGTGAAACATTAGTCCAGCTATCATGTTGGAGTTAGCATTGCTTAAAACAAAGTTTAAATAAACAAATGTGCCCTGTCTCCAACTGCTTAAGCTTTTAGATGAGTAGTTTGGTGCAAGTGCAAATAATAGCATGCCGAAGTAGTTTAGTCTATTGATGCGCTACCAAAAAAAAATACTAAAGTTTTAATTGCACTAGAATAATGCAATATCCGCCCAATCTCTCTCCCATCAATTTCAGCTATATACTTCTTTATCTACTGTATACATAATTCCAAATTATCACCAAATATATCATAATTAATTCAAACTTGTTTATAGAAGCAATCTCTGTTGGAAACAAATAGGTATACAAGAAGAAATCACTACCAAAAGAAGAAAACTCCAGGAAAATCAAGACTTGAACATGAAGAATCATTGTCCTAAAACGATGGTTTCCCCCTCTCAGTTTTTGCTTTATGCTCATTCCACTCGGTTCTTTCTCTGCCTATTCACTCAATTATAACGCGAGTTTCCCGACTTGGAAAGTCTCCAAAACCTTATCACGCAAAACTAACAATCTCAAATTGCAAACAAAATAACTTATAAGTTTCTCGATCGAAATTCATATCGGTCGCCTTCTGATTTAATTACTTTCATTTTACGTACTATAATGGAAACTAGAAAATCAGAAAATAGAATGGATGGTGGAGATACCACTGAGTGTACATATCGAGGACGACAGCCTTATCACCAGCGGCTTTAACAATCGGCCAAAAGGTATCCTTAGTGAGCTCCGTTACTTGACCCAACGCTGTAACAGCACCGGCGGCGTCGTCCAAGTTGGCCTTGACTCTGAAGCAGCCCATGCACTGATGTCTTTCTTCTCTCTTAATCGTCACGTGGCTATAATCACCTGGAACGCCGCCAAGGGAGTGTTTTGTGGACCATGATGATGCGGAATATTGCGCCGCTGAACCGACCAAATTCCTAGGTGGTGCCCTGAATACTTGCACCTGTAGAGACATTGATTCTATGTGAATTAAAATTGAACGGCTAGTCGGCCACGGCAACTGGTATGGATAGATTGTTTTGATATTTAAATGACTAAATTACCCTCCAGATCTGTCATTTTTGTGCGAATATTCCTGGGTGTTTTTATGATTTCGACTCGAATACTAACAGACGAAAATCAGGTGCTGGGCCCACCCAAATTCTCTCTCTCCAATATTGAAATTCAAATATTGGGGATTGTCAACGGCTTCAAAAAACGACATCGTTTCAGTGGACAGAATCATGAACAGCTACAGCTACAACTGTCATCTCCACATAAAAATAAAAAATAAATTAAAATAAAAAATTCTCGCTTTGGTATCATCGATATACCGCACTGGCTTCTTCTCCTCACGCGGATTCCATCAATAGACACGCAGTTCACGCACTCACTACACTGTTTTACACCATACCAACAAACCCTCACTGTTCTGAAGATACTAATATTCTTCCCTCTGTTCGTTTTCCAGTCTTCTCTGAGTGCAGTGATAACAATGGCATCGTCGTTTCGACCAGCTACGGCAGCGTGCGTGACGGAGAATAGACAGAAATCCAATTATTCACCAGTTTGCCGTTGCCATTTATTCCATGGATCACGCCCTAATAAGGTCTCATTTCGGCTCTCTTCCAAGCCCAAGCTCCGGTTTTCCTCCAAGGTACACTTGAAATTTGTCTCGATATCTATCTCTCTCTATTTTAGTTGTGTAATAATTATGGTTTTGTAAAACATTCGCAAAAGAATACAGTTAATTTCATGCACAATTTTGTGATTTGATTTATGAGATCGGGTCTCGATTTTCTCTTTTCAGAATCTGCATAATTATAGAAAATATGTTTATATTAGGCCTTTTTTCTTTCTTTCTTTCTTATCTTTCTATATTATTGCTTTTCTGCTGCCTGTGAGTTAGAGCTAGAAAAGAGATTCTATTTTTATTGAAAAATGTTAGTTAAATTGTAAAAAAAATATATATAATACTAAATAGATTAAGCTGAAATGTGGGTTGGGGTACCTTCACGAAACTTTCATATTTTTGAGGAAAAATATTATGGCATTTTTTATTTATTTATTTATTTTTTGAATGGAGTAAAAATGAAAAACTGAATTGGAGTATAGCAGGAGTACTTGATTTAGAGCTTGAGCGGCAACAGCCTTATATGCCCCCACACCATTGCGATAGGAGCACAAAGACTTGGCTAGTTAACTTCCTAGCTGCATCACCTCATGTTATATGTGAGGAGAGCTCTTTGCCTGAAAGTTATATTTTGAAAATTTTTGAAATTCATTTTACTTAAAGCAACAAGATCCATACTGCATGATAAAATTATTCTTTATTTCTCTTCCTTGGAAACTTAAATCTTATCGTGTACATCTTATTTCAACTCTGGGAATCAAATCATATTCCAATTTACATTTCTCCATGGTCATCCTTATAATTCTCATATGGGGAATTAATTTCCATTTTATAGGGTTTGCAGTCTGATTGGAAGTGTTTCTGTTTGGTGAGAGCTAAATTAAATGAGGTGAGGTTCTCTTAACAGTTACTTTCGAGAGTTTTTTTTAAAATTTTCAAATTTTCGATCTATTGTCGAAACTCTTTTGGTACCATCTGTTGCCTTTAAGGTTGCTGTCAATGGAAACTCAAATGCTGCAGCAAGTACTCCTGCGAAAGCAGAAGTATCACCAGAAGCCAAAGATGCCAATCCATCAACTGACCCTCCCGCTTTGGCCTCAGAAGAATCGATATCCGAGTTTATTACTCAAGTTGCTAGTCTTGTAAAGTATGCATGCTGATATGATTATATTTTTCTTGAATACACGAGGTTATATATTGTTCTACCTTTCAGGCTAGTAGATTCTAAGGATATTGTGGAACTCCAAACAAAACAGCTTGACTGTGAACTTTATATATGTAAAAAGGAGGCGTTGCCTCCACCTCCTACGTCTGCTACAATGATGCAATCACACTCTCAGTCTGCTGTACTGCCGTCACTCCCTGCACCTTCTCCAGCACCAATTCCAGCATCCTCTCCTGCACCAACCCCAGGCCGTTCTGCACCTGAAGTGAAGAAATCAAGTTCATTTCTTTCCCCACTTAAATGCCCCATGGCAGGCACATTCTACAGAAGTCCGGCACCTGGTGAACCACCATTCATGAAGGTAATTGACATAAATTTGATGAGGGAAAAAGAAAAAATGAAAATAGGAACGGATTTATATTTTTATGGTAGATGTATGTGTCAATTTATTGGTTAGAAATTCCGAAGTAGTGCTTTCTCTCCAAAGTTTCACATCAACACATGAGTAATTCACGTGTGTCTGATTAGATGATACTTGAAAAGTCGCATCAAAGTACCAATATGCCTCTCTCTTTGTGTGTGCACATTAGTGTCTCTCTCTCTGGAGCTAACATGATGCACTCATGCAGGTTGGGGACAAAGTGCAGAAAGGACAAGTTGTGTGCATCATCGAGGCCATGAAATTGATGAATGAAATCGAAGTAAGCAATTTTTTTAATCTGCAGCACCTCTGCAGTTTTACTTGTTGCTTGCTGTTTCTTCCTCAATTTTGCTTTTTGATCTTTTTGTTGCTTGTTGCTTGTGATCCATCTCCGTTAACTGATTGCCTTTAGTGTCTGAATCTTCACATTAGATGTATCAGGACTAAGTTGAGCATGTTCAATTTCTTTCATGTCTTTCCTGACTTTAATCGTGTCTACAATAAATGCTCAGAAAAAAATTTCTTGTCATTGGCTTTACCCCAGTTTAGACTATTTCAGTGTCTTATTTCTTCTTTCAAAATTCGAGGCTTCACATCTCTCTGCATTCGCATCATTACATGGTTATATAATCATAAAGTGCAACCCTATAGCAAACACTAGTCGATACCCTGAATAGCTGCATTGGCATGGTCATGTTTTTCCAGCATCATAATTTATGCCATATATCAGCTGCAAGATGACACTATATGGTCTGAATAATTTCCTCACTCTTTTTCTCTGCGTGCGTAGGCTGATCAGTCGGGAACAATTGTGGAGATATTTGTAGAAGATGGCAAGCCTGTCAGTGTTGACACTGTGAGTTCTCTGGTCTAATCATTGTTGGTTGATGGCATAAGTGATATGCTATTTTAATCTTTCCACTTTAATTGTGTCCTGATTTTTCTTTCACCTGTTTACAGCCTCTGTTTTTGATTGAACCATAGAGCGGGCAGAGTTAAAAGCGCAGTACTAGGGAATAAGATGTTCAGTCTTATAATTAAGGGGGCAGTACTAAGGAATAAGATGGCCAGTCTTATAATTAAGGGGGGTCGCGGCATGCTTTTTAATCCCAGGGGACGTGTTCTGCTGGGAATGAGATTATAGTTAAAATTGGAAATGAAGGTCTCCAATAAATTCCTTTCTTTACTTGTATTAGAATTTGTTGAAATATTTCTTTTGCTACAATGTATACTAATTCATTTCATTAAGTTGGATAGAGTTTTGGAATGCAGAGGAAAAATTTCCTTCACAAATCCCAGAGAACTTCATGAGAACGAGAGTATACGAGTATGACCCCATCGAACAAAACTCATAAGCGAAAATGAGTATGTGTCCAAGAAATATAAAACTTTTTTCTCCTAAAAGCAATTGGCAGTTTACTAGAAAAAAAACAAGTTTGCACAGATGTGAACTTTGTTACGTATAATAAATAATGTACATCTCTCTACTGTTGATGTGGCAGCGGTCCAAACTCTCTTTTTGACTAGTCAAAAAATAAGGTTGAATCGTTGATATGACGTTGACATATCTGTAATGAGCATTTGATCTGATCAATTCTGATATGAGAAAATGTCTCTTATGGTCGAAATTTTTAGATCCCAACATTTCTTTCTATGGCACCGTTTAATTTCCATAGATTTAAGAATGAGAATGAAAAATATAGTCGTTATGGGATCCACATAAGAGATAGAAAGTCAAATATGGTGTTTTGATGTGATGAATAACAGTTATATTTTTTTATTTTTGTAGCCAATGAATGAGAATCAAATGGGCTTATATACATTTCTTTTTCGGAAATTAAACTTAAATGTTAGTTTATGACAATGAAGTTCTAATGGTGTAGCGGAAAATTTTTCATATGCGGGCTGTGTGCTCGGATTTCTAAAATATGCATTTTGATTTGATTTTATTTATTTTTCCTTCTAAAACTAGTCTTTAAACTTTAGAGCCTCCAACATAATTCTTCTTTCGTTCCATTACTCCATATACGTATTTTGCCATTTTAATATGATTTCGTGGATGTTAATTTCCTCACACGAGATACACAAGTTTCAAAGGGTGGCAAAACACTATGCTTAACACCTATCACAATCTATAAAACCTAAGTGACCATTTGGTTGATGTTTTAAGTTTTCAATTTTGGGTTGTGAATTCATTTTAGATTTTCTATTTTGAGGATCTATTTTAAAAATGCTAAAAATGTGTTTATTTTATCATTTTGAAGAATTATTTCTCGAAACAGAAAATTTGAGAATTTAATCTAGCTCCAAAAAACTGTTCTTTTTCCATACCATTTTGCATTTAAACATTAAATGAACTCTTATTTCCTCTCTCCCACACTGTTGGCATCATATTTGTTATATATTGTTCAACATTAATAAGATACAAGTGTGGAACGAAAAAAGAAATTGGGAGCCAAAATAGGCCATGCGGTCACATTGCCGATGGCAGAAAACCTGCAGCTGTGTTATCGTTGAACCATGCAACCGCACGGTCGCATGTTAGTAAACAAGTGGCCATTGGAGGTCGTTTTTAGTTAGGTTTTTGGTGGCTTTTGGAGGGTTTCTTGCAACCTTTCAACATTTTTTTGGCACTAATTCGTGGCATTCCTATAAATAGGTCATGGATGATCAATGAAAAAACATAAAATTTATATCACAAACATATGGAAAAACCATCTCTTCATTCCACAAAGAAGAAACCATAGTCTTCTTCATCCATATTCAAATTTTCCTAGTGTTCTTCAAGTTTTGGAGAATTACACAAGTGCTTATGTGTTGATTCTTTACAAGGTTTGTTATAATCCTACAAACTATTTGCCGCGAGACCCTTTAAGCACCAAAATCATATTCAAGAGGGGGCAAATATAGTTTGAGGACAGTGATTATGCGTTCGAGCGTTCATGTTCATTTTGTCTCTTTTTTTCAATTTTCATCTTCTTGATTTTTTGGTGGATTATTTTTTCTCCAACCCTGGTGGTTGAAAATTTCTCAACAATCTCAAACTATATTTTTGCGATGGAGAATGAAATATGGCGACAATCAAATTGATGGATTGAGACTTTGTTCGCGATGATTGTTTGATGGCATTAACTTCGCAACATGGTTCGACTTGTAGAAGAATATGAATCCAGATCTTTGTGTAAGTCGAAATTGCTCTCCAAATTTGACAAGCTGAAATTGCGTTTCGATTTCATGCATGCATGAGGTATGTGAATATAAAATATGCACAAGATTGATGTTATATTCCAATAATCCTAAGATGATTTTGCGTTCATTGTGCATAAGAATCTAGAATTGTACATGGCTTTAATCTTGGAAGAATTAAAATTAACGTTGTGCATATTCTACTACAAACGGGTAAAGTATGCAATGACAGTTGAGATAATGCAAAACTGTAAGTATTTTGATGCAAAATCATGAATTGTGAATTTATTATGCCAACCATTGTATTCCTTCATGTTGTAACTGCCTCTATTCAAATTAGACGATTGTTATGTTGTGCCATCCATTGGATTAGTTTATGCCAAAAAGTAAAGTATTATGTGTGACTCTAATTATCAATGCATGGCTGCCAACCCTATACATGACGGTTTAAATTTGTACAAGTGCATGAGATTTTAAATCAATTTTGGTTGGTGACTGATGATGGAAAAGAATGTACGAGTAAATGCATATGTGTATTGCTGTAATGTTAACCAGTGGATTTATGCATTCTTTTAACACTCATATGATTCTCTCTCTCGTAAACTGCACATTGCATGATCATGGTTTATAAAGGGATTATGTGTCAAGAACTATAAATTTGACAAATGCATCTGGATTTTTGGCAGTTTATTAAATGGATTTAATGTGGTGACTTACATGAAATTTAAACCTGGATCTATTTGGCCAGTTAAGGTTCTGTAACTTTTTGAAATTATGTATCATGAATTGATTTGTCTTTTGGGTTATTTGTCTTCATCTATGAATGGACGTGATGGAATTGAATATGGATTCCATGAGATGGAATAAAGCAATCGAATAAAGCATGTGTTATTTCTTAATTTGAATATGCTTTATTTATGGAAGTTGATTTTATATGCAATATATGAAAATGGTAGACGCTAATGAAAAGGCTATGGAATAATTAACTTGGTGTCAACATGAAAACTTGAAAGAATAATGTGATTCTATCCAAGTTGAAATCATTGTTTATTAATGAGTGTTAAGCCTCTTATTTGTGGAAAATTATATAGAATATTATGAAATATTCTAGATGAAAGTGTGTGATTTTCCGAAGTATGATTTATTCTATGAATGTGGAAAGATGGATGTTGATAATCAATAAATTATTGATTCGACTTGAACAAATGCATGTTTTGGCGATCATCCATATGCTTTAATGGTTAAAGTTTAATATGCATATCATAATATTATGGAAATCATGGTATTGCATAAAATTCTCGAAGACTTACATGGCCATGTTACATATGGGTCTAAAGTGACCTCTAATTGTGTAGATTTGTAAATTTTATGATATGCTCTAAATAACATTAATGTTAAAGGATATTGTGGAAATCATTTAGATGAATTGATTATTTTCATTTTGTTGTGACAATTGGAAATGGCTCATATGCATGACATTTTAAGAATGCAATTTAAACAAATTGTGGTGGCTAAAGATTTGTTTGGCTATGGTTGTTATTCGATGATTAGTTCCAAAAGAAAGATGAAGTGACTTTCCCAGATTGTTTGTGTGGTGTTGGAAGAGTACATGTATTGCCCCGAATTTTAATAACCCGAAACGTTACGAAATATGAATATATCAAAGGGCTTAAAATAAATAGTTTTAATATAACGAGAAATTCTGTAAAAAAAAAATTGAATAACATTTTAATCAAAAGATAAATTTAAAATATGCAGAACGTTTGAAAATATATCATTCACCAAACATTATTAGAATAATTAGAACTAATTGAAATTTTTAATGTACTCGCAATTGAGTAAAAAAAAAAAACTCATTATTATTAAAATTCTAGTGTTTTTGAAAGTTAAAGTACTTCATGACAAGAATCCGTTGGTCCAATAGCAAATCCATCCACCGCTGTCCAGCATATTAATTCTTACCTGAAAATTGTAAATAAAGGGGATGAGTATAACGAATTATACTCAATGAAATACTTGCTACTCCACATTCAAGTCAAATATGAAATTACGAATAAATTCTCTTACCAATATACAATGAGAATTATCACACTATGATAAATGATAATTCTAGCAAGCGTTGCAAAGCAACGTGATGTGGTTTGAACACTTTAGAACAAATCACAAAAATTCGGATTAATAACCCCAAAAATTCCGTCCAAAGTTTCCCAGAATTTGGTCCAATTCCCTAATTGATATAAACTAATTTGGAGATCCTCTGTTAGATTTTTGGCAAGAGACACAATGATTGCATAATTATGTGGACACGTGAAAAAAGTGTATGAATTGCATGCATAATTCCTATTCTATTCCAATATTAAAATCAATTATAAAAATCCAAATTCCATGTGATATGCTCCTCTTATGAATTCCCAAAAATCTAATTATTTAATTGATATTAAATTACAACTAATTGACAACTCCCCAAAATCAAGGCAAAGACGTAAAACCTACCATTTTCTTTCTCCAAAATCAAAGCAAACAAATATTAAAATATAGCCTACCTTATCTACCATGCCTACAAAGATACACAATTACAAGATAATAAATAAATAAATAAATAAAATTAAAATTAAAAAAAATTGGCAACAGCACAATTTCATTCCAAGACTTTAATTAAATTGAAAACTAATTTTCTTTTTCTTCCATCAACTTCTTTAAACATAATTTCTTGGCACTGACTTATCCAAAACCATTTTTTATCGAGTCTAATATATATGATTAATTACGAGCTATTCAGTGAGCCTAATATTGATATAGTAATTTAGTCCGAACTGACAATTAATATTCTTAACTAAATAGTTTTCCTTAATTGGCTCTAACTTGAGTTTAACTTATCCAAATTAAATTCTTCCCAAGTCCAATTTATTATGAGCTTCAAAATGAACCCAATATTGGTATAGTAATTCTAACTCCTTCAATAGTTAACTATTTGGCACATTTAATAAAGTATAAAAGAATTCGATATTTATTTTCACTTCGGTCCCTCAACTAATAAGATATCCATATAGATCTAAAACAACTATAGAGATAATCAATTAACTTGCATAAGGAC